AGATTCAAATTCCGAAAAAAACAAAACTTCGAATTTTTTAACAGAATTTTAGGTTAACCCCCTCCTTAACATCGAGGAGGTCTGGAATCCAGTATGTTACCATGGTAACAAAATTGTTAAGCTCATATTATGGACCGCATCTAATAGAATTTTAACTCAAATAATCAAACCATTCTGATTCAAATCGTCTGAGATATTTTTTTTTGACCATATTTGATCAAACTTTGGACGAGTTTATGACGTCATCAAAGGCTATTATTTTAAAAACTTGAATATCTCTGCAACAAAAAAAAGGTAACTGAAAATAGTAAAGAGCAGTTTTCTTCTCGTACAACTTCCCTGTTCATGTTGTAAAATGGCTTAGATAGGCAGAAACGAATTTCGTCATAGTTGCAATTTAAAAGTTTTTCCAATGAATTTACAAGTGGAAGGCTAAACGTATGTAAAATTCAGACTATGAACTTTTTTCCTCTGTCTCGCTAAGTTCGCAGCGAGTGTCTGATGCGTGGAAAGCCCGGGGGGTGAAAGTCCACTATCGGCTGGTGTACAGTCAGAACTACAATGAATATAGCACTAAGCTGGCTCTCTCAATACAAGAAAAAGTTTCTTTACAGAGAACTTCCATATTGTAGCACAATTGTTACAGCACTGTAATACATGAGCACTCGAACAGGCTGATTAGCTTGAAAACGTGACCTATAATACATTTCATTCCATATTATTACTCATTTGCATTTTCACCAGCGTTAACTGTTCTCATTTCCTAATCGTTTCCTGTCGATTGTTAAACATTTCAGGCTTTCCTGTGATCTAGGGTGGTCTTTGAGCCTTTTTTAAATTTGGGCTAAAAGTAAATGACCTTGGACATTTAAACTATCACTCCAGTCGTTGTTTCGAAAGCGATTCAAATTTAGTGCGTCCGCAACAAAATCCTTATTTCGTACGAAAACACAAAATAACCCGGTTGCTGAAATTACGCAGGAGAAAAGTTATTAATATTTCACAGTATTAGATTTGTACCCCATTCCAGATGCTCCGTGCTCTTTTTAGAATCTCTTAATGTGGCTGTGAAACTGGCTGTTGTTGTGACGTTATTGAATCTCATACCCTTGTATCTGAAAAGAACAGAAAGAAATACAATAAATAAAATCCCGATGATGGTCTGTTCAAGTTTAATGTGATTAGAATCCTTCCCGAGTACGCATGAAAACGAATCGATTTGTGCTAATTCATGCATGTTATTATGCATTGAATCGTTCCTAAAGGGTTTGTGGTCGGTTAGGAAAAGAACACTTTAACCTGGGACTTATTTGTTCAGTGTTCGAGAAGGAGAAGTAAACTGGATGTTTTCAGTCCCCTAAATTACTAGGAAATTTCGATAAGGTCTA